GATTTCGCATCTCAGCGGGCCCGGGGCTCCTCCTGAGGCTGCTTGCATCTCAATACAGGCTGGAGACGAAAGGCTGAGAGACATGCTCTGGGACATCGCTGCCACTGAAGTTCACCCCCAGGATTTCCCAAGTCACAGTCAGGGCCTCAGGTAGGGACAAAAATGCCACATATTATTAACTGAACAGCACGGCAATTTGTTTTAATTTGGTTCATAGAGCCCCACTGTCACACGGAGTCCCTCTGCAGTCGAGCACAGATGGCTTCCTTTATTGGAGAAATCAGAGTTATCCAGTGGCACGCCAGCAAAGTGAAACAGATAAAGTCAGCCAGCTCAGAATTATTCAAATGATTTGTTTCAGTAGCTTCATTATAAAAACAGTGACTATATTAGTTCCTTTTAAATGCCTTTGGTCCTTTTAAAACTGTCATAGCTTCATTCAGTCAATCTGAGGCCTTTGCTCAGTTTGAAGAAAAAAACGTAAAAATCTTCTGCTGAAAAGAGCATCGTTGTAACTTGTATCGGCCATGCAGACGTGAAAAGCACATAGTGCAACATATGAATTCATTTCATACGTCCAACCAAGGAAGTTAATAAAGTTACAGATAAATACAGATATGTTTACTCTGTGCAGCTTCATATATATATAATCTTTAAATAAATAAATAAAGGATGTTCCAGCCCTATTTTAAGTGACGCAGAGGGGAAAACTGCTTCTCAGGCCTCCTGCTGTGACGCTTCAAATGCAAGTATTGTCTCGAGGAGATGCAATCAGTTCCAGCAGCCCCGTCGGAGCTGGAACATGATGCAGACTGAGATGCTGACATAGTCTCAGAGGAACAAGCCTGAAGAAGGCAACATTCAGTTGCTCCATTTTTACAGAGGAAGAGTGAAACTGAAGCAGCAGAGGACGTTGATGAAGGCGGCTGTAAAACCAGCTAACTGGGGTTTTAGGTTTGGTTGAGCGAGTATAAAGTCTGGCTGAGTAGTACACCTCTCTGAGCCCGGGACTTCTCCGAGCCCGGGACCTCTCTGAGCCCGGGACCTCTCCGAGCCCGGGACCTCTCCGAGCCCGGGACCTCTCCGAGCCTTGGACCTCTC